GAAGGCCCCCAACACACACACACACACACACACACACACACACACACACACACACACACACACACACACACACACATCTGAATGACCACAACGTTATGCTCAGATGGCTCTCTTACGCTTCTCTTATATAATGCACGTTGTGAACTAACTAGTTTGTTTTGCTAAACTGTGCAGGGCTGCAACTAATGATTATCTCCATTATTGCCTAATGGACATTACACTATAAAGTGTTGGAGAATGGTGAAAATGCCCATCACAATTTTCTAAAGCCCAAGGTGATATCATTACAGTTAATTGCCTTTTTCCCAAACAACAGTCCCAAACCTACACATATTTTTTAAACTACCATAAAGGATGAAAAAGGAAGAAGCAAGTCCTCCCAATTAAGAAAGATGGAACTAAGGGATGTCTTTTATGAATGTTTTAGCGCTGTCTAATAATCCCTTTAAATATTTCAGATCCAGCACTCTGCATTTTCATATTAGTCAGTTTTTGTTTTCAAATAAATGTACCCATAAATGCTTATAGCTTTGTTTTTAGAAGGACTCGGATTAATTATAATGAGTCACAGTTACTGTAGCCACGCTGGCCAAACTTTCCTCTCATCTCTTTAATTCATTCGGCCTGTAATTGAGCGTTTAACTTGATTTTGTTGAGACAAATACGTTCGCGGCTGAACCTTGTTTGTGCTGCAGAATATTCTGGAACAAACGGGCTGCGATGGACTAGAAATGTATTTTTTTGAATTTTCTTTAGGGCTCAAGTGCAGACTTGGTAAGATGGAGAAATTTTCAGAGCTGTCAATACATCTTCTCTGATGCACTGATGGTGCATTTTCATGATTGCATATATAGGAGAAATATAATAAATATTTGAACTGAATCCACTTTTATCCAAGTGAACATTTGTGTTTTCTTCTTTAGAAAAGTTTGAAAACGATCAAGTTTAAGGTTGAATCTTGACATTTAGAATAATTTATAAGCAGATTCAATCCTGAAATACTGATAGCCGCGTAAGCCTTGAAATCTATGTGGAGCAAACTCTCCATATATTGAGCCAGACTCAACAAGGCATCACTTAATAAAACAATACTTTCTCCTTCCCTTTTTCTGCTCTTGCAGGTATTGTACATGCCCGGTGATTTGGGTATTAAATTTGATGCCTGCAGTTAAATCTCTTGCTGTGAAATGCAAGAAATAAAAACTCCGAGTTGTAGATAATGCAAAGTACAGTAAAGCACGTTGCATGCTCCTACCCCCTCCCTCGGAGCCACACGCATACACTTGCATACCCCCGCCAACACATACTTTAATCACACAATTAATAATTAATCAGAGGTTGGGCTCAATGCTGTCAAGCCTGCAGATGAGAGAACACCCAACTGCTGAGACAAGCCCTTAAAAAGGGGGATTAATAACCAAGAAAAGGAAAGAATGAACAGCTAGACAACACGTCGCTAGTTAGGCTCAGTTTTTCTTAAAGTTGAAGGAAGATACAGACGGTCCACTGGCGCGAATAGGCAGCTTTGAATGCATTTTTTGTAAAGAAATAAATAACAAAAGCTCGCTGGCTATAGAGTTCTGCAGAGTTTGTGAGGGGGAAAATTAAGTTGTCGCTTTTATGTGACATTTTCTACATGCAAATATGCAAAATTTGATTATGTGCTCTGTCTCCTGCGTATAAACACCATCAATAAAACTATAACAAACCGGTTCTAGAAGAATAGGTCAGGGATGAGTATGTATTATTTGCGCACCGCATTACAGCCGGTGCACTGATTGATTTCAATGCATTGCATCACTCTGGAATTGATCATACACCCGTGATCATTGTGTTCAATTTATTTATTCCCACTGATGCAAGTATTTTCCAACACTTAAAAGTCATCGGCGTCGGTGCCCTCTTTTTTTTTATCTCTGTCAGTCTCGCAGTGCTCTGTTTCCAGTGTTGCAGCAGAGAGCAGAGTGTTTACCCAGCTGTAATTACAACATGCACAATGACCTCATTCTGCTGTGTCAGTAGCGGTAATGTATAGCCCTTGATGTTAAACTGCAAAGAAAAATGGTGTGCACTTATTTTCAATATGCTGACTACATTCCCAGCATTTTTTTTTAGACATGGCCGTGAAGGCAGATCAGAATTTGATATAAGCACTGGTGCTCCTATTTATCTGACAAGGTCTCTCTGCCTTAATATGCATTCAATAATGTGAAATGATATTAGCTGTAGGAGCTCATTGACTGTGCACTCAGGGTCTCTCGGTGTCTCTCCGTCTCTGTCTGTAGCACGCTCTTTATCTGTTTCTCTTCCTCGTGCACACACACAGAGAAGAAATGGGGGGAAAAAAGAGAGGAGGCTTGAACCGCGGATAGCAACAGCAGCAGAGCAATCACACCGAAGCAATGCCCCCCACGCCTGGCCCATTAATAACAGTAATACGCACACCGCGCCCAAGCCAGCACTGCCGAAAGCACCACTGACACTTTAATGGGCATTTTTTACTTTTGTTTTTAAATAATGCATGTGCTGCTTGTCAGCACTGCTTCACTCCACCCCTGGTGTGCCTTTGCAGCGTTCCATTGTGCAGAAATTACAATGGAGACCTGTGTTTTCTGTGCCGCCTGCTCCGTAAGCTGCATTCATCACGTTCATAGGGACATCAGAGTGCGGTACATCACACTCTCGGGGCCGTGTGTGTGGGCACGCATGCCACGCATGTGTGCGTTTTTGTTTGTGAAGGCACCTCATTGGCACCGAGCTAATTAAGAGCGTCTTTGAGAGGGCGAACTGTGATGCTCGGTGGCACCGAACATGACTTATAAAGAAGGATGATGCTCTCCGCGATACAGTAAACCTGACAGTCCGCTAGCGGTTTGGTGTGTCTGCCGAGCATGCCACTGTTGTTATGCAACTACGAAAACCTCATATAGACCCCGAAGTATTCGGGATCCTCTGGGCTCACTTGCAGTTAACTTATTCAACAGTAAGAGATTCATCAATAAGAGAAGGTTTAATTTTCATTCGTCCGGGGACCGGTGCGGAGCGGCAATCGGTGATACATACCATAGCGTTTATGGCATAAGTTAATTTGCTTTGGCCATCCTTGGATGGGCAATAAAACGAGAACAATAAAACGAACACAAATCAGCAAAACACAACAAACTCAAAATTATACACATACATCATGGCACAACACACAAAGTTCAATACGAAAATATATATTTTTAAAAACGGCTGAGACGATACACAACAGCACGAGGGGCGATTCACAGAGAAAGAAGATGATGGTATTCAGCTCCTGCTCGTTCGTGACTGCATGAAAAAGTGTGGTAAAAAGTTTCGCTTTGAGTTTAAAGCTAATCGCACATTAAACGTCTCCGTGTCCAAGTGTGGGTTGACACTGTTCAGTGGAAAAGGAATGACATGAGTTTAGCCATCCAATAGATTAATTAACATTTAAACCTGCAGTTTATTGCTGTTTATTAGTATTTATGCATTTTGTAATATCACCCAATCATATACTCGGGTGGGAGAGAAACAGCTATAACATGCTAACAATGATTCAGACGAGAGCATCAGTGGATATCAGTGAGTACATACTAATGATATTCTGTATATACAATATTTATACTGTACTCCCAGGACAGGTAGGCATATCTAGCATGTATCTTTCTATATTGTCAGCAATGGATGCATTGCCATTCTATTATGCAATAATGCTCATTGAAATCCAGTTTCTGTATTCTCAGCCAGAGCGGCGCTTTGGTGGACTGTGTGTGTTGTGTTTGTGTCCTGTTTGCCTTTTTTTTGTGCACCTGCTGCAAACTGAGAATATTGAGGGTTTGTATTGTAATCATACATAAGCCCCCCACCTCTAAATTGGATCCGGAGCTGACCAAAGATGTATTTGCACATGGTAAAACTTAATAGGAACAAGTAGGCACGGGGACCAACAAATTAATCGTTGTTTAACTTTGCGTCTCGAACGGTGCAGATTTGAATATCGGGTGCTGCAGAAGCTGCTCGTTTATTTCGGATCACGGACAGTAAAGGTGACGGACGTCCTCGGCGAGAGCTGCAGAGGTTGCGTCGGAAGACTTGCGAGACAGGACGTGACTTCGGGACTAGCACCCTCGAAAATCAATTTTTCAGCAGTCCCCTGGTTTTTGAATTAAACACCAAAAACATGCAAATTTTATGCCAGCGTTGCACTTAGTAAGTTAGAGTATGGCTGTGTCACTTTCTGGGAGTAATTTGCGCCGGCCTGAACACAGATTACCAAGGCCCATTATTAACCCGTTTGGGTAGCATCTGGGTAAAACGCACATTGCTCATCAAACTGAAAGCTTCGGTGTTTTATTTGTGCGCGTTATTCTCGAGATCCCAAAAAACAGAACTGTAGATTTATCATACATTGAAACTTTGCCAGAATGATGTGCCTCGGTGAAGTGCATTTATCACAGATCACTTATTGTGACATTTTAATAGTAGTCCCTGAAGTGCTACATCTCACGGGAGAACCGAGTCAAGACTATAATCGCAAAGGTTTAGGAGCAATAACTGTTTTATTTTGGGTTCATACTTTTGAGCTGATTCCATAACAGACACGGGGTAGTTAAGTGGTTATAGAGGATATCCTTTAAATGTGATGATGGTCAGTTCACGGTTATTCTCTGGCGTATTAAATGTTCCCCACTGTTTTCCTGTTGATACTAAACCTCATTTGGTTATTTATATTATGCTGGTAGATCAACTTGACCCAATTGTGTAACTTTATTGATCGTAGCCAAGCCACCTATCTGTATTCCTTACTGCACGTAAGGTCAATAAACCTCAAAATCAATATTTATAACAATCAATGTTGCATTCTCTATGATGCCTCTTCCTGTGCAATGATTTCCTGCGATTGAATTGCTTTATTTGTGTTTTTTGGAGGCGCCCCTCTGCTGCTTCTTGTCCGTTTCGGTGACGCCTGCTCGTGTTTCTGTGTGTCCCTGCAGGAAACACGTTGTGTAAGTCAGGAAGCATTGCTGTCTTCGGGAACGTGGTGTACAGCGGACTGCTGAACGATCACCTCTGGCATTTGGGAGTGCCCCTCTTTACAAGACTGGTAAGAGCAGCAGGCCCCTCTGTGCACACTTACCTTCACTTTTGTTGGAAGAATTTCACGTGCTTGTGTGGAACCTAACAGGTGTGGAATTCCCCGAAGCTTGTAATGTTGTTTTTGATGCCCGCTCTGTTGACATGTGTTAGTTAAGGTTAAGACCTGGATGTGAATCCTCTGCTGTGGATGTAGGAGACGAGGAAAACCCACCACACACACACACACACACATGCATTTCATATTAGACTTTTTAAAAGGCATAACTAAGATGTTTTCTCTGGCCTTAAAGTGCAGGTGAGCCCACCTATGGATTCAGTTCTTCCCCAGCTGGCTGGCTGGGTGTGTAGCTAGTAGTGCTGAAAAAAGGCTGGCTAAATAATTCATGAAATTTAGTTTTACGGCAAGAATTTTCTAAAAATTACAAGGTTTTAATTAAGAACCGGAGCGGCTGACGCTTGCATTAAGAATTCATGATAAATGTCTATCCCTAATTGTCAAAGGGAAAGCGAATGTTTGTTTTACACTTAATCTCGCTGATGGTGGAATGTGAGCTTAGGAGATTCTTGTGAACGGCATAAAGACGAAGGATCACAGAGCGATATTCCAAAAGATGAAATCCAACGAAGCCCTTTCCCTTCTTGTTAATTACCCTCTTTCTAAGCAGGTCGCAAGTTTTCATCAATGTTTATTATTGATTAAATCTGTCGTTGTTGCTGTCATTTATGAGTCAGGAATTAGCGTTGATTGGTGCACAAGGGTTGCATATAATTGGGTTACATTAAATAGATAATTCAGCTGATCTCATAAATGTCTAATGTGAAGCCTTGTTTGATTATCAATTAATGTCAAACGGAGATGCAAGAGGCTGTTAGGAATCCTGTTGGGTTTGCTTGTGTTGCATGTGGCAAAGCTACTCTCATTGCAGCTGTAAGAAGAGCCAGGAGTTTTTACAGTGAAATGTATATTTAATATTGTACGCGCTGGCGAATTCAAAGTAACGCTGGAGCACGCGTGCACAGCGAACGCTGGTAAACAAGTCTTTAAAAGATGTAACAAAAAGAAGGACATCAAACGCCACAGGTAACAGAGCTTTGGCTTCTAATTAAACAGAAATTGTTTTTTGAGGAAAATGTGCCTGTTGTTCTTAGCTATAAAGAGTAGAAGGAGGGAAATGATTAAAATATTTCATGGCTCAAAAGTCACTTCATGGTGCCTTTTTCAAAGCCGAGAGTTTAATGGAGTAGGATGCTTAATTACTAGCATATTTACATTTTCTCCGACAAATCCTCCCACGAAGAGAAAGCTGATGGAAAATAACCACTGTGTGACTCTGAGAAGAGTTTACCCCATGACATCGTGAATATATGGTAAAATACATAAAAGATGGAGACAGCCACCATAGCGTCCAGGTTGGTTTGGTGTATTTCGAGGCTCGGGGGCAAGCCGCTCAATGACGAGCACCCATGCAGACTATCCAAGTGTTTCACTTTTTGTTGGTATTTGCAAGACAGATGTGATGTAAAGGAATTACTGTGTTGCATTATGTAAATGTTAACCCAACATACAGCTGCTTCTAAACCAGCCTCCATATTAATATCTATGATGTTTACTGTGGACTGCCTGAACAAGCTGAAGCACATGCTTCAATAATCCACAATACATTTAGTCATGCAAAATCACGTGAAAACAAACAATAACAGGTGCAAGTATGTAACACGAATGAGGTGACGTGCACAAATGTTTAAAGTAAACATTTAATAATATATTATAATATAATATGTACGTATAACAGACATAATGTGGCATCCGTGCAGCTTATTGATGTCACAATGCAAACAGGCCTGGAGGATTAACACAAACAGACCACACACGGTGCGCTCGCAGTGTGAAGACACCTAATCCCCGCTGTCGTTAGGTTAACATCCTCCGTGTCGCTCCTTTGCACGGCGAGCAGCGGCCGAGCTCTGAGCACTCGTTGAAGTAAAAGGTTCGACTCCCGGCTGCGCCACGAAGGCGCGGCCTTGTGTAGCGCTCAGTGTGCCTGCTGCCGACACACTAGGTCCGCCCAGCAGTGGTATCAGCATGACACGCGGCAAGCCTTCACATCCCCAACACACAGCTCCTAATTACTGCACAGCCCTGCCAGTTTGTACCCCTAGGCCAGTACTGACTGCTCAATGCCAAGATGTAAACACTGCATTATTAACACGACATACAGTCTGTGCACACGGCTAGGTTTAATGTACTCGACGTATGTCTACATGGAGGCATTACTTTAGTGGGATTCTTTATGCGAAAGCATACAATGAATTTATTGTCTTCCAGACAGCGAGTTCCAAAATCACCAGATGGGCGATTTGCTGCGTATAGGGTAATGTATGCTTACAAATGATGTTTAATGATATCTTCCAGGGATAGGAAGCAAAACATTACCATTTTCAAGGCTAAATATGCAGGCTGTGTCAGAAAGCTGGAGATACAGAATTAAGTAACACACTGTCTTTTTTTCTTGTTATTTTATGCATATTTATTGGCTGCCAGAGCGTCTTGATGGCATTACACAATATCTCGTTTTTTTCTTTATGGCAAATCACAGTCCAAACATAAGCTTTGCCTACTTATCACCAATTCTAATATATTTTCATATGAAAAATCTCTCATGTGAGTATTATTAGCAGAGTGCTCTGCCCCTGCAAGTGCTGCAACTTCCTGTCAGTGTGAGAATAATAAGGGAATGGAAATGTAATATGAAACTTCTTCAGCACACAGAGATAAAGAGGAGAAAGGGCTTCGTTTAGCCGCTTGTTTCTGCCTGCACGGCCTTCCCCGGCGCCCTTTCCTCACGTGACGTGTGCTGTATAGAAATGTCAATACCTACCTGTGGAGCTGATGGAGACCCATAAATCGATAAAACGAGCATAGCTGCAGATCCTTGGCCACCAAGTTGTAAAACTGGTCACTCCATAAAGTGAAGTGTGTGATTAGAGAAAACCAGCCTGGCAGCATCAGAGTGGAGCCGCCGTCTTCCTTCGGGTCTTGCACCGGCTCGGTCCGAGCGTTCGGGCGAGCCGGCCGCGACTGTAGCCCAGAACCCCGCGGGGAGCTCGCAGGGATGAGAGCGAGAACTCTCATTGTCTCCTCTGGTGTCTTTCTAACGACAAGATCCGAGTGTGGCTCGACAGAAGATGCTCTGTAAGTAGCGGCGCTACGGACGAGAGGTGAGATCGGCATAAAATATTAAGACGGCAGATCTCGAGCCGGCGACGGTCGGAGACAGACGGACATTTTAGGCAGAACACTCTGTGTGTGAGGCCTTCACTTCCTCTTCAGTTTGAAAGCTCCATCTTTATAATGGATGGCGGAGTCTCTGGGGAGTGTCTAGACTATGGTGGGAAATCTAAATGGTTGGGAAAGCCACTCCAATGCTCTGTAAGTAGTGTGGAGTATGGGAGAAATGCAACTCAGAGAGGTGACAGGAAGAAGGGAAAAGCATCCCAAACAACACCGTGTTTACCTGCATTGCACTTCCCTTGGTAACGGGCGTAGATTCCTAGACAGGAGATGCAGACTTTACGTAATGCTTAAATGCCCTCTGATTCTTTTCTCCCCAACCCTAAGTGGCCTTAGCTCCAGACCGCGATGCTCTCTGTCTGCACCTACACCCACCCCCACCCGCTCTCCAGCCTGTCCTGCTCTTTTTTTCTTTTTTGCCTCCGAACTCGTTCTTTTCCTGCTTCTCTCCCCCCTCAGTTATTTATGAGCACGACTTGAAATAGACTTCAGTATTTGATAAAAGCGTGATCCTTAATCTGAGTTGCCTGAGAAGTGCATTTCATTTTTATTTCCCATCAGAGATTGATGGAGGACTGGGGCGGTTATCCACTCTGTGATTGCTGATGTAAATCCATTGACTTCTGGTGGACATATATAAAGATATGGAAGCCTTGCATGTGCATCCCGTGCTACCAGCGGGGAGATTGCGTGCGTGCAAAGCAACGGAGATGCTGGTTTGTGCGATGTGATGGAGGGGGGTGGTGTAAGAATTATATGGCGCGTGTCTTGATTTATGAAAAGCTTCTTAAAACATCACAATATTTGCAAAGTTACTAATTGCGGTTCTTTGCCTGTGTGCCATTTCATATTTCACCGCTCACTTGTGCTTTTTCTGAAGGAGGAGGAAAAAAATAAAACGGGTGATAAATTTAAGATGACAGTTACACCATATGAATGAGGCCCCTTGTGTATCAATTCGCTCAAAGCCAGCTGCAAATCTAACTCGGGCTCCTTATGTGGCAATTACTGATGGGTAACATAACCTGCATATATCTGTTCTGTTCATTAGGCCAATGTGCTCTATAACTGGCAAATGTTCTTTAGGATCCTACAGCAAATTAGCTCATCCCCCAGGACGTCTTTTATTGGATGATCCGGCTCCAGAGGATGCCGCAAAACCACTTGAGCTCTCCGCAGCCTGCCCCGGTTGCCACAGGGTTAATATTTAAAAGCGCGAGCTCCCAGTCGTGTATTGATGATATGTTTTGAAAATTGCTGAGGCAGGCTCATTGTTACAGTGCTGTCTAGAAGATAGCCAATCCTCCCTCCTCTCCTCCCTCTCTCTCCCTCGTTCCCCTCCCCCTTTATAGCCGCCAGATGGAAAACACACTAAAGCATGTAATGTAATATAGCTTGGCACACACAGAGGTATTTCACACCAACTTCATCTGGCCTCTGATCTGCCACAACGCCACCTGAAAAAACAGTGCTTTTAAAAAAAATTATAATTTTTTTTCACCGAAACAAAAACGTCACCAAATCGCGAGTTCGGAGGAAAAGAGGGAAAATAAAAGGCAGAGGAGCTATCGGCAGCTAAAAGTAGAAAACAAGTGGAAAATAGGCTGCGCCTCCCAATTGCCTGTGGCATATTTTAAGGTTTTCTCTGAGAGTCTTTTTTTCCTTCAGCATCGCCTCCTTCTTCTTCTCTTCAATGAACTAAAACTGCCACAACT